TTTTTCCCGCCATTGAATTTGCTAATCAATGTTAAGAGCTGTTGTTTGATTTTCCCTCAGAATGGAATGATTTGCTGTATGATGTTGTGACGCATAGAGTATCTTCCCAAAACCTATAAAATCTCACTGAACAAAGGACCAGGACTCACCCCCTGGGACCCCTGTGTCTGAATGGTTGTGAATCCAGGCTCGAGCTTGCAATAAAGACTCTTGTGTGCTTGCATTGGATTTGGCTCCTGGAGGTCTATTGGGGTCCCACGAATCTGACATAACACTATAAATACCAATCCCTTTAAATTTTAAATCAGTTTTTTATTGCTAATGATGTCATTAGATCTTTGTTTTCAGGTTTAGTTGACTATTTAATGATTGGCATAGAATCATTTTCCAGTATTATGTGTTTAAATAGAGCATCACATCTAACTTTAAAGGGTTAATAGAAGACAGAGGACCTGCTTTAGATACTTTGAATGTAATTATTTTATTTGTATTTTCATTGTCCTTGTCAACTGAATGCCTGCATGTTCAGACATTTTCAAAGTGTTTTCAGAAACTTTTACCCTTAATCCAAAATGTTTTAAGAGAAAAGATATTATTGGTCTGATTCGCATGCTTTATTTATTCTTCACTTATGGACTGGAATGAATTATACTTTTAAAAAACAAAACAAAGCAAAGACTGAACCAGTTCTAAACTGTTCTTTGAGTTCTAAAATAATTAATCTCTATTCTCATAACTCAACCTCAGAAATCACCCAAACTCCACCTCCTACTCTTTGCACATTAGCATTTAATTCACCAGAATTAAGAAATTTTCACGACAGAAGAATAAATTTACTTGCTTTTAGTATGAAAAATGAGGGTGGATTCTTATTTACATGCATATGCAAGGAAAGGGTGTGAGATTTCCTCACCAAAGTCCTGATTTAGGAATTTTAAGATGAAGGCAATAGCATGTAAGTTCTGCAAGGACACATCACACTGGAAGAACAGGCATTCAAAAGGTGGATGGAGATAGAACCATGTCCACTTTATGCTTTTAATGTAGCCCTTTCTGCTCTGCCTCTGAAACTTATTTTTAAAATGGACAGGGTTTCTTTCTCTTCCCCTCTCCCTGCTCCTCCCTAATCTCTCCCACTTCACAATCTCTGGGAACACAGGATTACCTTTCTTCCCCATTTTAGGCAGATTCATCTGTCCTTGGGCACACACCCACCTCTGGAAGAAAGTAATCCAGACTTTGGGGATGGTCCCAGAAGATCTCAGAAATGACTATCTCCCAGATTAATAAATGAATGACAACTCCAACAGAGAATGAATCACATCCCTGTTCTGCTGATGGGCAGAATCACAGCCTTTGGGACAGGAGTCTCCTGTACTTCTCCTTTGCTAGCAAGACAATAAAACCTCCTTTTTCTTTTTCTCAAAACTGTGTTCTCATTATTAAATTGGCATTAGGGACAAGGATGTAGCTTTTGGTAACAGTGAGGTTTCCTTGAAGGAAACCATTAAAGAAGTACTGATTTTAGTTGTCTTTAATGACATTTATGTCACCCAAGGGAGTCAAAGAATGAAAATGTTTTCTTTCTACCAGATCTTGTTCTAGTACCTTAAAGTCCCTTGAAGTGTGTGGTTTTTTATTTGTCTTCCTTTCCCCCCACCCACTTAGGCTAAGGAAAATATTCTGAAAGCATAATGACATACCTTTCCTAAAGTACAGAGCTGGAATTATTATAAATTCCATTGATTTTTATTTTTCCTTTAGAAATCATGTATACTGTTTTTCTCCACTGCAGCTTCACATTTCTTTCTATTCATTATAATATTCAGGAAATGAAATGCCTTAGGGACGCCATTACATTCTTGAGAGTTCTCTAAATCCCTCAGGAAACACTAAGCAACTTTTAAATAATGTATGTATTCTATTCATTTAATCAGCAGGTAACTCTAGGGAACACATATTCCCATTTGAATTAAGGTAAATATATAACTGAATCTTCAATCTAAACTTGTCTTTTGACAGGATGATTTTTTAAGCAGCTTGAGCTAACTTTCATACCAAGGATTCTATGCCTGTGCCTCTCCTATATTAAAAGATAAGTTTGATTTCCAATCTGCTGCCTCTTACTACTATCATTACTCCATTTACGCACCATTATACAAGTAAGATATACTTAACTGACTTGTTTAGGATTTGGACCTTGCTTTTGAAATATAGGGAAATAAATAGAGCACAGGAATGGGCAGTCACAAATTCCTAAATAAGCTGAGGTGTTCATTATTTTTCCTTTCATTAGTAAGTTAAATTCACTTCTTCAAATCTTACACACATAGATTCTACACGTCATTTAAAATGCTTTGAATAAAGAAGGAAAAATATTCGGAATTTAATCTGATAAACACTTCAAATACCAGGAACAAGTGAAACTGTAATTTATCTCCCCTATATGCTAAATTTCTCTTTTTCTTCATCAATATCCACCTTGTGGTGTGCCTTTTACTGAGAGTATTTTAAGTATCTATGTTTCAATTCATTGGAATATTCTTTCTAAAGGGAGAATTGCATCTACAACATGACTACATATTCCCATGGATATTATTTACCTATCACTATGGATAATCTAGATCTAACATAATTACCTCCTCATTTGTTATTATCTCAGTATTCTTGTTCTTTTTTCTAACTGAGTCACTGTAAAAAGAGTCCCAAAATGAAATGATAATAAAACCAGCAAAAAAAAAAAAAAATCATTCTTTACTTCATTCTATGGAGATAAAATGACCCATATTGTAACATTTAAAATATTTATTTACATTTATGCCTGGTTCAAAGGGAGCAAGGGGCAATTTTCCTCATGCCAATTCTCATGGAAGATTCCCCTCTGCCCAGTTCCAGAAAAGGCTGAAGGAAGCTGTGGGGTTGACCTTGAACACAAGCAGAGACACAACCTGTGTTGGACCTGTCTCTGTCCAAGGGACAGGTGTTTTCTGTGTAGCACTCTCCATGTTCTGCAAATGATTTTCAAATAAAGAAGAGTTTATCACTAAAACAAACTGACTAATAAACATAGGTAACAGCATATTCCTAAGGATTGAAACAAAGGTCAGGAAAATAAGACACCCTCTTTGGAATGAGGCAGAGGAATGTGTGAGAAAAATTAAAGTGCACTTTAAAGGCTGAGAAAGGAAATAGACAACCAATTCAGCTTATCCAGCAGGACATTGGGGAACAATTCTTAGGAATATGACATAAAAAAAATAAGAATGAGCATCTTCTTCATTTGGTTTCCCCAAAAAATAGCCCATGGTACTTCAGGTAAGTCTGAACCAACTTAGTTAAAATCCAGAAATATTATTCTAAAATGCCCTATTGATTTACATCTTGTGTTTATTTATATTTCCACATTTATATGTAAATGTGAAAATATATTTGTTTTGTCTTTTTTCCAAGTCAAATGTGGTGCCCCTCAAAGATGATATGCATTGGTCCTGTGGAAAAGATTATATACTCTAAGAATGATGTTGCAACTTGGGAAGAAAATTAAGTATTACAAAGAAGGTTCTGTGTGTTCGATAAGTTTGCTTTATTCTGTGGTTTTATTTTGCTCTTTTCTCAGAATAATACAAGGACTTCTGTTTCCTGAGCCTCAGTTACAGTATTTCTATTGAAATTCAAAGGTCAATTATAAATTGCTTTCACCATGTTTCATATTCCAGCTGGGAAATGCCCTCACCCCATTCTAAATGGATGTTCTCAGAAGTCTGTGCCTGTGGCTATTATCTAAGGACAATAAAGACTTGCTAGTTAAAATAACTTCAGAGATTTTGGACTCTGAGTCTCTGCCTTTTGTCACATCCACCTGTTAAAAAATGTGGAGTACTGGTGCTGAAACCTCAATCCTTGTCCTTGATGCCAATCCAATAATGAAAAAAGGGGAAAGGGAGGTTTATTCCTTTGTTAGCAAAGGAGAGACACAGGGGACTCTTGTCCCAAAAGCTGTTTCTGCCCATCAGCAGAAATAGGGGGCTATATTCCATTCGTTCTCTGTCTGGGTTGTAATGCACTTCTTAATTCGGGGAGATAGTCATTTCTGAGATCTTCTGGTACCATCCACAAAGTCTGGATTTACTCAGGGACAGATAACTCTTCCTAAAATGGGGAAGAAAGGGAGGTGGGGAGATTAGGGAGGAGCAGGGAGAGAGAAAGAGAAAGAAACTTTTCCATTTTAAAAATAAATTGCATTGGCAACACAACAAGGATTATATTCAAAGCGTAATGTGGACCACTGTTACAGTAGTTGAAGAAAGAAAGAGAGGGAAGGAGGTAAAAATGTGGAGTAGGGCTAATTATGAAAACATCAGTGGACATTAGTTACTCTGAAAGTCAAAGCCAGCAGTATAAAAGAGAGCTTCGAGGAGACCATAGATTAGATTCTCAACCACAATTTTTTATGCTTTTTTTTTAAAGAGAGAGAGAGAGAGAGAGAGAGAGAGAGAGAGAGAGAGAGAGAGAGAATTTTTAAAATATATTTTTTAAAATTTTTCAGTGGACACAACATCTTTATTTTATTTTTATGTGGTGCTGAGAATCGAACCCAGCGCCCCACCCATGCCGGGAAAGCGCGCTACCGCTTGAGCCACATCCCTAGACCTTTTATGCTTTTTAAAACTAGACTTTTCTTTAGATATCTTTATAATGAGATTGCTTTAGCTTGTTATATACATTAAGACCAGTGTTTGAAATTCATTCTGTCACTGAGACAGAAATATTCCTTTATTCATCAAGGCATTTTTTATGGAAGAGGTGAATAGATAGAATTAAAAGAGTCTAAAGACTTTCTAGTTAAAATTTTCTATTTATATAAGCAGAACGACCAGAGATGAGAGTCACTAACTCAAGCCACATAGCTAGTTAGGATTTCCAAAAGGTATGGATATCATACCATATCTGTTACTTTACTCCAATCCCCTATCATCGACAGGTATCAAGAAATGCAGCACATGGCTTATGTCAATTTTACTTTGGTGACTGAATTCATCCTTTTGGGACTAACAGATCGCGCTGAGCTGAAGGTGCTTCTCTTCGTGTTGTTCCTGTTGATCTATGCCATTTCTTTGGTGGGCAATCTAGGAATGCTCTTTCTAATCCAAATAACTCCCAAACTCCACACACCCATGTATCATTTCCTCAGCTGTCTGTCCTTTGTAGATGCCTGCTATTCTTCCGTTTTTGCACCCAAAATGCTGCTAAACTTCTTTGTTAAACAGGAGACCATCTCATTCTCTGCGTGCATTGGGCAGTATTTTTTGTTTGTGTCCCTCCTTACCACTGAGGGCTTTCTGCTTGCAGCAATGGCTTATGATCGCTATGTGGCCATTGTGAACCCGTTACTTTATACAGTGGCTATGACTAAAGGAGTCTGCACCATGCTTGTATTTGGGTCGTGTGTGGGAGGCTTAATCAACTCACTGACACACACAATTGGCTTAGTGAAGCTGTCCTTCTGTGGGCCAAATGTCATCAGGCACTTCTTCTGTGACCTTCCTCCCCTGTTGAAGCTGTCATGTTCTGACACATCCACGAATGAATTGCTGCTCTTAATCTTCTCTGGTGTTATTGCCATGCTCACTTTCTTGACCATGATGATCTCCTACATCTTCATCGTGGCTGCCATCCTGAGGATCCGTTCAGTGGCAGGTAGACGTAAAGCCTTCTCCACCTGTGCCTCGCATCTCACAGCTGTGACCCTCTTCTATGGCTCCATAAGCTTCAGCTACATTCAGCCAAGCTCCCAATACTCCTTAGAGCAAGAAAAGGTGGTGTCTGTGTTTTACACCCTGGTGATTCCTATGTTAAACCCACTGATTTACAGTTTAAGAAACAAGGAAGTGAAGGATGCTGTAAAAAGGGCTACAACTATGAAACGTTTTTGTCCTTAATTTCGTACCACAAATCCAAAACCAGGAAATAAAACTCTGCTTTCTGTAATAATGCCAGTAAAGATTTTTATTGGTGCGTCTTAATCATACAGAGTTCTGAGTTTCATTGTGGCGTATCCATACCTGTACATAACATGATATGATCTGTGTCACTCTTCAGGACAGCAGTCCCTGGAAACCTATAGCTTATTCAGTTGGATCACAGCCATACAAAGAGCTCTAGAAGAACAATGTGCCCTAGGACATATGGCTAGTTATTGTGTTAACTAACCTAAAACTAGACTAAGATTAGGGGGTAGTTTTCTTAGATAATTGATGGCATTTTCATTCCTTTATATGAGCAGACATTGATGTAAATATATATGCATTTGTTATATGGGTAAGTGAGAAGGAAAAGAGGGAGACCAGGCAAAGATACACACCAGAGTTTATGTGTCATAGCTGACAAAGGCCATCTCTCTATAGGAGACAGAGGCAAAATAGGCTTGAGTTCTGGGACTTTTTTGAGGGACGCTCAGAAATAAGAACTGAGGTAGGTTTAGGGTTTGGTTGGTATGAGGGAGTGGTGAGCCTTTCTCAGAAACTCCCTTGGGTGGGAAAGTGAACCCGTTTCCTTAAAATGGCTGATGTCACTTAAGATGGCCATCCAGATGCTAAGCAAGGACCTTATAAGATACATATATAAAATATAATCATTCAATTAACATCAAGGAGACAAACATAAAATTTATGAATAATATAACAATAGATCTTTTGATCCTTCTATTTAGTATAAAAAAATTAAAATATTTTTAATACATAAAATATTGAGTCTAGCACCATGACACATGCCTGCAATCCTGGCAGCTTGGGAAGCTAAGACAGAGGATTGTAAATTTGAGGCTAACCTCAGCAATTTAGTGAGTCCCTAACCAAATTAGATCCTGCCTTAAGATAAAAAATAAAAAAGTACTGATTATGTAGCTCATAGTAAAGGACCTCTGTGTTCAAACCCCTTTACCATGTATATATTCACACATACACATATATTTATGCTTGCATTACCTGGAAAATGAAAAGGTATTTGTTTCAACAATTAAAAGTCTAGTATTATTTTAAATAAATGTGAACACTTTAAGAATGCTCAGGAAAAGAATCTGTTGATCCTCAACCAACTTTCCATTCACAGTGGTTAATCTGAACAATTTTTTCGCTCCTGGTGTCAGTTTTCACTGCTATCCCTGAAATTCAACATGACAGCATGCCAGAGTTCACTTACCATTCTAGCCATTACCATTCTACATAAAAAGATCATTAATATCAGTTTAAGTTCTTGCTCTGAAGAATTTTACTTTGTGTTTTATTTTATTTATTTCTTTATTGGTGCGGGGGTACCAGGGATTGAATTAAAGGGCACTTGATCACTGAGCAACATCTCCGGACTTTATTTAGAGACAGGGTCTCACTGAATTGCTTAGTGCCTTGCCTTTGCTGAGGCTAGCTTTGAACTCGAAATCCTCCTGCCTCAGTCTCCAACCCACTGGGATAATAGGCATGCACCACCAAGCCTGACTTACTTTGTGTTTTAAAAGAATGACTTCAAGGCCAATTTGGAACCTGTAGTAATCAGATTTATCCCTGCATTTTTTTAGGTATCTTCCAGCATCCTTTTTAGACGAAGTATCCAGGTAGGGAAAATCTGTAAATTCAGTTTTTGTTTTTTTTTTTTTTTTTCCCACTCAAATTTAATGCAAGTGCATCACCATAAAACCAAGCCCACATGTACTGATTGTTCCATAGTGATCTTATCTCAAATTACTGTAAATGATCCTATCTCAGAAAAAAAAAAATGCAATATCCTAGAGAAAATTTTATTTGAAAATAAAATGGTATTAACATTTTCCAGTCTCTTTTAAATTTGAAACAACTGGAGGGAAATGGATCAAGTCCCATACAGTCATAATTTAGACTCACTAAATATTAATTAACATTTGCATGGGGAAGGTGAGACTAAATTTTTATTTTTTTCTTTTCAGAAACAGCCACTTTATTTAAGTAAATATTACCAATATCTATGTAAGTAAAAACAATGGTAGCATATTGAAAATATGCTATATTAGATAAACTGTGCAAAGATATTGATCTGAAAATTAAATTATCAGAATGAAATGTTAATAATACTACCAATGACACTACACAATCCTTCAAAATTTTCAGGACCTTTGAATATATTATTTAGGTCCCAAAGGTGCATATATATTTGATATTTATATATATGAGATTTTCATATAAGTGCATTTATATGAATTTTGTCTTTCAGACAAATGAAAAAATAAACTAATATTAATAGTATATAAACCAAATTGTATGTACCCCTTCACAATATTTCAGGAGCATTCAATAAATTATATCTAAAAGGATTAAACATGAAGAACATTATACAAACAAGATAATTGAAGATAAGAACAACAAATTGAAATGCTTATAATTTTTTTTTCAATACACAACTTTAAAAGGAAGAGGATAGTTTCCAAGAATGCACATAAAATGATATAACTCCCTAAGTGTAATGTGTGAGAGGAGGTAATATTTTATTGAAAAAAATGTCATTTTTGTCTCATACCAACCTATAACTCCTGCTAATCAATAATTACATAATATACTATAAACAAAACCTAGGCATTTCCATGATAAAAAAAAGAGGCAAAAATCACAGTCATAGAATTCTGATGGAAATTTAGGAGGCTGGTGGCAGATTTTTGTAATGTAACCTGAAAATAATTAACATTTTTCTATACTTAAAATAACGTTTAGTATAATTTATGTTACAGGTCTATTATTTAATTAAGTGAAATTTACTACAGCATATTCCAAATATTCTCAGATACTTGGTAGAATTAACTGATAGAAAATAAATGAGAGCTTCATCAAAGACATACCTGATGCAACTCTGTTGACTGATAAGCAAAACATTAGGAAAAATGATCTGAGAATGCACACTTATAGACACAGTCCCTTCACTCCATGTCACAAATTGGTTATTATTCAATATAAACAATTGGAGGAATCAGGGCACAGCAGATATTCATTTTACATGAATTTCCTTTAGGTTCTCAGGGAATGTCTGTCAAATATGTGTTAAGTTTTTATCCTGTTGTGTAACCTTGAAGTTTGTGTTTGGGAATTCAACTACCTCAAAAAGACAAATACTTTGCTGGTACCATCTAGACTTGTTGTGGTTACATTTATATCTTGGTCATATTTATTCTTACTCAGAAACCAGAGTCAGTTCAGTGAATTAATGTTCCTAAGATTCAAAGTTTGGGCTTGCTTCATCAACATGGAGTGATTATGTTGTTCACAACTATGATAACAATTTTCCATTGTCTTTGATCAAATGTGACCTGTTTTTAAATTCCATCTCCCCAAACCATGAACATCTAATGATCATATAAACTATAATATGATATAATTTCTTCCAAACTATAATATGATATAGGCACTCTAAAAATACTCTGAATAAATAAAATAATGGCATTTTTTTAGTTAAAGAGAGACAACCTCTCTTCTTAGAGTTTATATCAGTTTAGATATGTCTTCTGAAGTCTGAGAATTCCTATAATCTTCTGCTTTTGTAGACACTTCAGCATTCAGTTTTTGTTAGAAAACCCTCTGGGACTAAAGGTTTCCATGTGCAAACCTGGACACTTCATTTAATTACCCTGAGCCATATGCAAGGTCAATCAGAATGTTAATCAATCATAAAACTATAATGATTAAAGAAAATAATTGAACATATTAGACACCTAATAAAGAAATCATCTCAATTAGAATTCTTCCTGACATTGTTTTCTAGGAAAAAGAAATAATCATTTTAACTAAATTGATTATAATCTTATCTTTGTCCATATTCACCAATTTGTTTTCACTACTGCTTCATTTTAAAACCATTACAAATTATCACTACCATGTACATATGCAGTTGTGTTTGCTGGTTTCTTTATATATGGCATATATTTGTTTCTCAGTTACCCTTAATATATATCTTTGCATGATATATAGCCCACCATTTCATCCTGTATTCATCACCTTTTATGTTTTTATTCTATTCTACTACCTGTTTACTCAACATTCCAAAAGTTGCTTTCATATTCAACCAATATAATGACAAAATGTTAAACCTAATTTTATTCAGTTATCCTAATTGCCTAATTTATCCCTAATATTGAAAGCAATCTACTGCATGACAATACACATGAATGCATGCACACAAACACACACACTTGAAATTCTATGTAAAAATTACTTATGCTATTTTGTGTGGCATTACATTGAAATATATATCCCCCACACATAGATTTGCATCTTCTAAAATCACTTCCAATAATAATATGCTTGTAAATTTTTATATTCAGCAACTTATAAATTTTAGGGCTTTAAAAATAATATATATACCAGATTATGCATAATATGTACATATCATTAAATGATATAAATGAAAATTTTAAACATAGAATTTTTAACAGTTCTATTTTCCCCTGTAGAGCCTTATATAAGTAAGACAAGAATATCTGTGATATTTCCTCTCTAAAGTTGACAAAACATTAAATACATGAATGACTACCCTTGGGGAGAATGCTAGTACCTTAATTTCCTCATGTCTATTTGTGGCTGTTTTAATGAAACCCGGTGTTCACAAAGCACTGGGGATCCCATCCTCTATAGACCCAAAGCCAAATATAAACCCAACCGTCAGGAAATTAAGAGGAAAGGGACAGGAATTCCTCTCCACACCAGGTACGTGTGTCCTGCTCATGTGTTCTCACAAAGGATTTATAAATGCTTTCTCTGATCTCCAAAAAGAGAGTTTTCAATTCATGCAGGTGATGCAATATGAAGTAAAATCATCTGTTTCAAATTCATTCCAATTACCAAATACTCAAAATGGAATTTTGCCTGTCAGGTGGCTTTCTTGAAATAGAGAGTGGGTTTATTCCACATTTTCTCAATTAGCTGTATAT